AATTTTCAGCCAGCTGCCACAGAAGTTGAATGGATACCTTTAGAAGAGTGTACTGAGAAATATCCTCACTTGAAGTATGCCATTGAAATGAAAGAGTCTGTTCCAAAGGAAGCAGAACATGTTTTTGGATCTATGCTTTGGATCCTTTTTTCCTTGCTCTCTAAATTATTGAGAGGGCATTATATTTTGCAGAGCAACGGCCAAAGCTACCCTCTGCATGTATGAGGGCCCAGTATCCGCACAGAGATGGATATAGAAAGTGTCCCTTTCTTACGATAAGGGCAAATAGCAGTCTGGCAAACCAGATTGGCATTTTTATAAGCCAGCTGCTTGGTCAGCAGCATTTCAGCTTCCCCATCTACCACTAGGCATCCCACAGCCTGTAACAAATGGGACAAGAAATCCCGATATGACTTATCAGAACCCTGATGTATCTTACTAAGCTTTTCTGTTTTAGTGCCAGCCATAGGAAGCCTCCCCCAAGCTTGCTGGGCAATGGTATTAATCTGTTGGTAAACATCAGTGGAGAATCCTAACTGTTGCACCACCATGGAGAAGTCACTGTCAGCAGCTAACATACCAAAAGTGACTTCAAGTCCTTCTCTGTGATTGTGCTCAGATTGTTCCTGAGTGAGTGTGTTCAGAAAACTCTGATTTCCACAAAAGATATTCGCCTCCACTAAGACAGGCTTTTGTTATATTTTTCCAACCCACTGAGGGGAGAGCTTTGACCGCCATTGTCTCAAGTAAGCTCAAAGTAAAGGGAGCTGTAGCTCAATAATGTGCAACAGCATTTTTTAGCTCCTTCAGAGTTTTAAAAGGGAGTGGTTGATACTCCCATACTGCTTGTCCCTCAGCATTTAAAGACTCAGTAACGGGATAACATCTATATCCCTGCAAGCCATCTTCCCCTCTCTCCCATGCCATTAGGAGAGCCTTCTGTAAAGGAGACATTTGAGGGGCATGGCATAGGATAGGGTATGTCTGAGGCACCATGGGGCCATGGAAATACAGAGAGGATGCCTTTGAAGACTTTATGATTTTGATAGCCGTACTTCATCAGATGGTCAAAAGCCAACAAAAAGTCAGAGGACTCAACGGCCAAAGGTGGGGGTGGAGGCAATGGCTCAGCAGGAGGTGATCTGCCTCACTATTTCCTCTTCATCCTCTGTCTCTTCAGTACATTCCCCAATCAAAGGTTTTTCAATAACATCAGTGGGGGAAGAAAGTACATAAGGAACTTCAACAGGTTTAGAGATAGTTGAGACTACAGGGGCTTTAGAAGCCTCATGGCCTAATGCAAACAGTCTCTGATCAAATTTCACAAAGAAAAGATATCAGCAGGGACCTTAGAAGGACCCACAGCACAATAATATTCTCAGAGTTGTTTCCAACAAGTCCCCAAGTTATCTAACCAAACAATAGAGACCTTGCAGCCCCAAGCTTTAAGCATAGATTTCAAAACTTGGAGAAAGAGATCCCACTCTTTAAGTTTTCCAACTGAATAATAGAGACCTTGCAGCCTCAGGAGAAAGATCCAGCTCTTACTACCTCCTTGCCTCATTAGTTTTACTCCTGACTATCCTGACTATATGCCTTTGTTCCTAAACAGAATAGGTGCACACCCCAAAACATGAAGGTTTCCTCACCTGTTTCCAAGAAGTTTCTTGGTACTCAGGTCCCTGTTCAGGTGACACTTTGTTGCTGACCAGTACGCTGAGGGGAGACAGTGGGAAATGAAGAGACACACTTTATGGAATCAGGAGGACCTTTCAGGCTGCTGACCTGTAAGGCATCCTAGTTTATTTTAGGTTCCTTTTTATAAGCCAGTGAAAATAAGAAATTGTACTGATTAAATCAGTTCTGTCTGGTACCAAGCTATTTGTAGAACATTTTCAGCTGCCATGGCACTTGAATATTCATAACTATCAGCAAAATAAGAACATAAGTTCCTCATGGCCTAATGCAAACAGTCTCTGATCAAATTTCACAAAGAAAAGATATCAGCAGGGACCTTAGAAGGACCCACAGCACAATAATATTCTCAGAGCTATTTCCAACATGTTCCCAAGTTATCTAACCAAACAATAGAGACCTTGCAGCCCCAAGCTTTAAGCATAGATTTCAAAACTTGGAGAAAGAGATCCCACTCTTTAAGTTTTCCAACTGAATAATAGAGACCTTGCAGCCTCAGGAGAAAGATCCAGCTCTTACTACCTCCTTGCCTCATTAGTTTTACTTCTGACTATCCTGACTATATGCCTTTGTTCCTAAACAGAATAGGTGCACACCCCAAAACATGAAGGTTTCCTCACCTGTTTCCAAGAAGTTTCTTGGTACTCAGGTCCCTGTTCAGGTGACACTTTGTTGCTGACCAGCACGCTGAGGGGAGACAGTGGGAAATGAAGAGACACACTTTATGGAATCAGGAGGACCTTTCAGGCTGCTGACCTGTAAGGCATCCTAGTTTATTTTAGGTTCCTTTTTATAAGCCAGTGAAAATAAGAAATTGTACTGATTAAATCAGTTCTGTCTGGTACCAAGCTATTTGTAGAACATTTTCAGCTGCCACAGCACTTGAAGATTCATAACTATCAGCAAAATAAGAACATAAGTTTCTTGTTTACAAACCTTCCAGGGTCCTGGGTACAATCAAAGTTCAGACCTCAAGGGGAGGGAGAAGGGGGAAGTAGACAAAAGAGATGCCAGCCTTGCTGGCTTCCCTAGAATAGCAAGGACTTTGTCAGCTTGCTATTTAGTACATCACAGTGAAGGATATACATACATCTAGATCACATTTTTCAGATCTAGATTTTACTAATTTGGGTTTTAGTAATAAGATTTTGTAGATCTGAGAAATGTAGATCTGAGAAATATGAAGTTAATAAATATCATTTTGCATCAGGATCCATGAACAATTTTCAGCCAGCTGCCACAGAAGTTGAATGGATACCTTTAGAAGAGTGTACTGAGAAATATCCTCACTTGAAGTATGCCATTGAAATGAAAGAGTCTGTTCCAAAGGAAGCAGTAGGAGTGAAGATTATACAAACATCTAGATCAGATTTTTCAGATTTGGATTCTATTAATATGGTCCTCAGTAATAAGATTTGTTCTTGATCTGAGAAATGTAGGTCTGAGAAATAAAAAATTGGTAAATATCCATTTGCATCATGATCCACAAAATTTTCAGCCAGCTGCCGCAGAAGTTGAACGGATGCCCTTAGAGAAGTGTACTGAGAGATATCCTTACTTGAATCCTACCATTGAAATGAAAGACTCTGTTCCAAAGGAAGCAGCAGGAGTGAAGATTATACAAACATCCAGATCAGAGTTTTCAGATTTGGATTCTATTAATATGGTCCTCAGTAATAAGACTTGTTGTAGGTCTAAGAAACATAGGCGTGAGAACTATAACATTGGTAACTATCCATTTGCATTAGGATCCATGACCAATCTTCCACCAGCACCAGAGAAGTTGAACCCATGCCCTTAATGGAGTCTCCTGAAAGATATCGTCACTTGAAGCCTACAATTGAAATGAAAGAGTCTGTTCCAAATAAAGCATTAGGAGTAAAAGATATACAAACATCTAGGTCAGATTTTTCAGATTTGGATTCTATCAATTTCATTCTCAGTAATAAGCTTTGTCATAGATACGAGAAACGTAGATCTGAGAAATATAAAGTTGGTAAATATCAGCTTACATCAGGATCCATGGCCAGTGTGCAGCCAGCACCCACAGAAGTTGAACGGATGCCCTGAACACAGTTGGGATGTGCTAAGTTAAATAAGATACACTATTAGGTTATCTCACCCATTTTTGTTTAATCTTTTGATGTGGCTACTGAAAACTAAATCGTGTGTGGCTTGTACAGTATTTCTGCGGGATGGGCGCCTTCCCACTGTTCCAGGAGGAAGGGTGTTCAGTGTCTTCCTCCGGCCACACTGCCGGAAACAGAAGTCATCACTGACTTCTGAAGAAACCCGAGAGAAATGCCTGACCATCTGTGGCCCTGGCTGAATGCTGAAGTGCCCGCTCTGTGCCAGGTTCTGTTCTAGACGGCTCAGGAGACAAGGTCCTCCGTGTGGCCTCAGGGGTGGACGTCGGCCAGGAGGCGCTCACAGGGACGCTGCTGTCACGATCAGGGTGGTTCCCAGTGTGTGAGCTATGGAGCCCCAGACAGTCTTCCTCAAGGACGGTCCGAGGAGCTGCTCCAGAGAGGCAGAGGGAGGATCCCACCGTGGAAAGCGCAAGTGACAGACGCGTCAGAAAAGCCCCACTGGCTCTGAGGAGGCTCACATTGCCCCACGTCTTGTGCTTCTGCTCCAGGGAGCCAGACCCTGCTCCTGGGCACGCAAGGTCGTCTTCAGGAGCTTCCATGGTTCGTGGACTCAAAGATACCAGCGATCCTCCCCGACGCACAGCCCAGGGGCGCGGTCATCTCCACCCTGGTTCACCCTGACATCCTCCCAGTTGGGTCTCTGGGGCTGCAAGTCTGGGTGTTGACCACAACCTTATTTTCTCAGGGTCTAGAGTCCAGACACCTGGGACCAAGGTGGGGGTGGGGTTCCTCCCAGGGCTGAGGACGGACCTGACCCAGGCCTCTCTGCAGCTGCTGGTGATCTCTGGTGTCCCTGTATGTTTGGACATGTCACCCCGACCTCTCATCCCATCGTACTCCTCCTAAATTAACTAATCACATCCGCCAAGACTCTATTTCCCGATAAGGTCCCATTCCGAGGTCTGGGTGGATGTCAATTGGGGGCTGCTGTTCAGCCCCCCACGACCGCCCGCTCATCATTTTCCTCCTGCCCCGTCATTCAGTACTCATGGGGCTCCCTTTAACGTGCTGATTCTGGTTGGAAATTAAAGGGGTGGGTTCAATGAAGCATCCACACCCCTGCTGGAAGCCCAGGGCTCATGAAAGGGAGAATTGCCTGACATGTTTGGATGGAAGGTTGGCCTGGTCAAATCTGAGTACGGAGACCCTCCCTTAATTCAGTTTCTGCAAATATGTGACCACAGGGTGTGACTCTTCCCTGGACAGAGAGGAGTGGGGACCCTTGATCTGAGGGAAGACAGATGCCCTCCAGCTGCCTAGCAGGGGCTGTCCCTGGTGCTGTCAGGAACTCACCTCACCAGATCTGGGTTCTTTGGGTTTCCGGGCCTCACCGTTCTGTCCCTTGGGTCCTGTGGCTTCTCCAGTCATGGCTTCCACTGTGAGACTATTTCTGCCTCTGTCCCTGCCTGCTGTGACCCCACACCCCTGTCCCTCCTGCTGATCATTGCTACCTGCCCCCCTCGACCCACCCCACCACCCTCCCCAGTCTGGCCTCCTGCCTCCTGCTCCCTCTGAGGCTGATGGTCACAGAGGGGCAGTTCTAATGAGGTGACAAGGCCCGGCAGGGTGGCCCAGCTGTGGTGGACTGGACGGCCTGGATGGGGTGGGCACAGGCTGCTTACGGTGCAGGGATGGGACATCCTTCCTCGGCTGTTCACTGCAAGCTCTCTTGCCTCTCCTGCTGTGTCCCCAACACTTGTGAGGAGTGTCAGAGCTCATTCGTACCGTGCCAGACACTTGGGAGCTAAGTCCATTCCTCACCCACAGTGGGAGCCCTGTGGCATTAGGTAGCTCTCTGTCCTGGAACCAAGTTGAGAAGAGCTACACACCTGGACATCGGGTGTTGGGGGGACTTGGAGC